GGACTCCGGGGCAGGAGGAGCGCGCAGTGCTACCGGGAGGTTAGGCGGACTCTCCTTTGGATCGGGTCTCTTGTCTCTCGATCGGGACTCTCCCGCCTCTCCCTTCTTCGCAGCGCGGAGTCGCCACAGGGAATTGGGGGGGGGGCCTGATCCTGGGAAGCTGATGCTGCCGCAGGGCACTCATCTGAGGCGCATCCTGGATTGTGGCGGAGGAAGCTTCCCGGGGGGGCCTTTCAGTCGCCGCGGCTCACTCCACAGGGCTCCAGACCTCGCCGGCATTTCTCCCGGCTCAGGAGCGGGCTGTCTCTCCGCTCCCCTTCCCCAGGCTGCCGGCGGTGGGAGTCACAGGTTCCAAACAGAGCTGCTTTACTCCAGGAAGTCCCACTGAAGTCGATGGGACTTCGTCCGGGGTGAGCGCGCAGAGGATTGTGATGTCGCCACTGCTAGGGTTGGGGCCTGCAATAAACAGAACTCCACTTGCCTGCCAGATGTGAACCCGCAGAAAGAAGAAAGAGCCCCTGTGCAGGGAGATACGGGCGGGCTTGGGCCTGACGAAATGACACGGATCTCTTTGAATTTTAAGCCCCCTTTGGGTTCCGATCCGAACGACTGGGACCCGCTGCAAAAAGAAGAAGCCCACAGTGCGATTTGCGCGAGGGGCTCTAAGGGCGAGATCCGGTAGGCCGGATCCTTCAGGCCGCCGCAGTCCCGAGCGCTGGAGACGCGACCCCCTGCGAAGGCAAAGCGAGACCGACCCACGCGCGGGCCTGCTGGGACCCCACGGCAAATCTGCCCCGGAAGGACACCCTGCCTCGTTTGGACCGGGTCGTGCTGGAGCGCCTTACCGAGGAGTCCCGCTAGGTCAACGTCGGCGGGCGTCGCTGTCCCCGCTCCCGGGGGGCTGATCGGAATTCACCCAAAGCGCGGCCCGCACTGGCAGGGGAGGCGGCACCAGGCGGCTGCGGCCCCGGCAAGAAAGGTCACCGCCAGCTCCTCCGCCTGCTCCACGCCGCCTCTCGCCCAGGGGAAGAACGAGCCCCCCGGGGGGGCACAGAAAATCCCCCGCCGCTTGCCCCCTCGCTCGGATCTCCCCGGAAGGGGGTGGGGGGGACACCGGCGCCAAGCCCTCGGATCTCTCTTCTCGGCAGCTGTCATTATATTATTATTATTATTATTATTATTATTATTATTATTATTAGCCGGGCCAGAGGATGCGGGGGTGGGTGGGAGATATCCAGGCCTGCGCCCAGTGAGTCAGAAAGCAATGCCAAGCCAACCACACACCGGCCGATGATTTATAGGACTGTAATTGGTTATAAAAATCGTGTAAGTGGCTGTAACCAGGGCCTCGGGCAGCCGCCGGCCGAGGGAGGGGGGGGGGAGAGAAACCACCACTTCCCCGGAGAATGAAACCCGACAGCAGCAGGCCGAGGCGAGAGGGCAGAGGCGGCGGCGGCCCTCTCCAGCCCGCAGCCAGGCACGCGCCAAGCCCTCGCCGCCACTCCCGGCACCAGGGCAGACTAGGGGCTCGCCCGGCCGATTCTCAGGAGGTTCCGGCCTAGAGCCTGAGAAAGGGCTTCAAAAGGGAAGTGATGGAGGTGGGGGGGGGGTCTCTCTGGCAGGTAGGAGCCGACGGGATCCAATTTCAAACACAAAACAAAACCCTGCGCGTAGAAAACTAGCAAGTCAGACAGTAAGTGAGAGCTCTTCTCCTGGATACGCTGGTCCTCTGTGAGAGGGGCTCCCACCTGACTTAGGCTCACCTGCCTCCATCTTAGGGTGCTCGGCTGCATTTCGGAGAGACAGCGGTGGCCTACCTGTGCCCAGGCCTGTAGCTACAATGGACACATCTGAGCCCCCGGCCGTCAATAGAAGAGTGCTTAGGATGGCACGAGCCAAGTCTCCTGGCCACACTCTCCAGGAGGTTCTCCAGCAAAAGTAGAATCTGAACGGGAGTCGCGCAAAAACA